ATCAGCTTGCAATGAATTTTAGTCTATTTAATCAATGTGTTACTGCCTTGTCCAATCATCAACTTCACAAGTTTTATACAAAATAAGACTTTTGTAAGAATAAGTATTCAAATTATACTCAGTTAAATTTTTATGTTTAAAGATTTTTTCGTTAAAAATAAATGTATAATATTTTTAACGTTACGTTTTTAGGTACATGCCATTAAATCCGATTGTTATGTGACACGTGTTAGACTTATAAAAATTTAAAGTTTTATTTAAAATAAATTGAAATTTTATATATTTATAAAAACTTAATAGTCGAATTTAATGGTGTTAACGGTCTAGATACATAAAACATAACATTACAAATGTTAAACACTTATTTTAACCGAAATATTTTTTAGACATCTCAAATTAACTTTAAATATAGTTTGAATATTTTTTTATGTTAAGTTAAAAAATTAATGGAGCCAACAATACTTTCTTCCTATATTAATGTGATCACTGTCTTGTCCAACCATCGACTGGTCCAACCATAGATCAAAATATTTTTAATTAGGACCAACCCGAATCCTTTATCTTGTATCTTACCTTTATGGTCCTTCTCCACCTGCTTCTGGGCACATGCCAAGTGTTAGTGTCTAGCAGCAACTGCTTTGTCAACATTTAAGACAATAGGTGTTTACATTTAGATTAGGATGTCATTGTTTAATTGGAAAACTAGTGTGAAACATACAAAAGTTGTAAGATGACATAGAATTTGGACTGTTTTGTCAATATCGATGATTAAATAACAAAATTTTATTAAAATTTCGATCGAGTTAATATGGTTCACACCAAAAGTTAGGTAAGGAAATCCAACATAACAATTCATATAATATACAAGAGAGTCTAAAATACATCCGAGTAATATAAGATTAAAAAAGACCACAATCGGTTATAACAAAAAAACTTACGAAGTGCATACTTTTTTTTAGAGTAAAATGAGAAATATCTTAGGCTCGAAAATATTATCTTATTTATAACAAATCATGTAAACTGAATAATATTCTTGTTGTAACTTAAAAAGTTATCGTCAAGAAACTTATATAATAATTTTTGTTATAACTGAAATTATTATCAATTGTGTAACTTTTAGAGTACATATGGTCACATTTTAAGTTAAAATATGTTGCAATGTAACATTCTTGGTTCTAATCGAAAATATTACCAATCGTGTAGCTTTTTAGAGTAGATAAGGTCACATTTTAAGTTAAAACACGTTTTAATATAACATTCTTAATTGTAATCGAAATTACTACAAATTGTGTAATATTTTAGAATAAATATGATCATATTTTAGGTTAACACTCTCAACTAATTAACCCATTTTTCCACCATACAACACAACTACTGCAATATATATAGCACTTAATAATAGTAGTAGGTAGATGATTCCATTTAGATATTGTAGAAGAAAATAGAAAACAAGCTTCTCTAAGGTTACTATCCCATGATTAATTGGATTAAATCAAACTCTAATTTGTTACAACTACTGATTTGAATATGACAGATAGCATATATATATATATATAGGATCCTTGGTACGAGCTCTTGGAAAAAAGGGCACTTTATTGATCTCATATCTCCCCTTTACGTGCATTAATGTGATGATTCGACGCGGAAACGTGTAAATATTGGTTGAATATAAATGATCCTTTGGAGCCAATTGGCAATAATCCTTTGCATCATTAAGGTTGTTTACCTTCTTTTTATAAACTTTTATAAAAGTTGTTGGAAATATTTTTTTATATAGTAATACTAAACTAACCTTTGAGAGTGTAGTGGGGAAGCAGGCGATTGATGAGCCGTTTCATGACACCAATGGGATCCAATTTCTGGAACAGTGAAAAGGTCCAAACAGGAAGAAATGGGAACACTAAACAATCATAAGAATCAAACAAAATAAAAACACAGATTAAAGTTGGTTTATGGATTTATCACCATGATTCTTTCTTCACACTGTTTCATTTATTTATTTATTTTAAATGTTTCCCGATGCCATATTTTAAAAAAAAATCATGGAAAATATGATACAAAACAAAGATGAAATAATTCTTTGAAAGATTCTCTACGGGGTTTTAAACAAATAAAATCATCGTCAACTCCCCCATGTAAACAAAGACAACAAACATTAGTGTTTTCTAGCACCCCTAGGGTTGTTTTCTTTATATATTTATGATAAATATCAATGACAAGAAGAATTTAAATAGTAAAACAAGAATTAAATTAATCTTTCCATCTCTGTTTTTGGAACAGAAAATAAATTAAATTTCACAAATAACGAGCTGCCTATCAATTATCCCCCCAAAAGACAAAACAGTCCAAATTCTCTCTATGATTCAGCCTCGGAAAGTAAACCCTTTTTCATGTTACACAGAAGACAATATATATATATATATATGTGTGTGTGTGTGTGTTTTCGTCATTGTCGTGCAGTTTTTTTTATGAGTTTTTGCTTGCAAAATTCTATCTCCACCTTCCTCGTTACTGCATTAGGATTACCATATATGGAATTTCATTGACATTAAACATGTATATATATATGGTAAACAACACTTAGAATCCCAACTATTACTTTTGTTCCATTTTGGTCACTTAATGTTTAAAAAATAATAGAACTGATGAAATGTTTTTTTACAATGATAACGTGACATTTTTTTATGGTGACACGTCAACATCACCATTAATTTTTTAACGATGGGTAACCAAAATGAAATTAAAACTAAACACTAGATATGATTTTAAAACAAAAAATAGTTAGGTGCCTAAAATGGAACAAAAGTGATAATTGAGATACTAAACATATAATTTACCCATATACATATATATATATATATATATATATATGCATCTTTCACACACATATGTATATTTCACTATTTCTTTATTGTAAATAATAAATTATATTTCACTATTTCATTCACACTAAATTGCTTGCAAAGTTTTAAAAATTCTAATGAAATAATTTATGTTAATTAATTAAACTATCTTACCTCCCCCTTACCCCATATATATGGGAAAAAGGGACATCTATTTTTTATATATATATTCTTATCTGTGATATTTGAATATAAGATTTTGAATCAAAGTTTATAAAATTTTAAGGTTTTTTTTATATATAAAAGAATCATTGTTTTAAAAATTTTCTATATGTCGAATAGTGTTGAGAGCTCATTTATTCAGCTGTTAGCAGAGCAACATGGTTTGAATAGAGGAGATGAGACCCACCGAAATTGACTAAATTTTTGTTGTTGTTTCGCCCTACAATAGTTCCTACACGAATGACCCATTTTTCTTTTCATATTTGGAAAACTATGTATACATTGTCAAAATCATAATAATATATGTTATATTTGCACTCAAAATTAAGACTCTAAACATGGGACAAGGCAATAATATGCTACTTTTATAAATAAAGAAAAAAATATACTGGTAATCACTAAACTTTTAGATCATTTATACTTTAATCAATGAATTTTTTTTAAAAGTCATTTCTATTAAGAGATACTTTCACATCAGTCACTACTATAATTTTCTTTGCAAATATATATTTTATGAAAAAAAAAAAGAGTCAAGCCAAACTCAAACATTAATCATAACAATGGTCAAAATGCAAGTATTCTTTAGTGACCAAAGTGCAAGCATTCTGAAAGTTCAATGACTATCATTGTTGTTTAATCAAGAAAAGAAAAGTCCTTGTTTAGGTAGGAAGAGATTGATGGGTTTTGATGAAGAAAATGACCACTACATTTTTTTCCTCACAATAATCTCATAATGTTAATGATAATAATACTTGAATTAACATTTAACACTAAGAAAAAAGGAGTTGCTTAAAGACCTTACCAACCAAGGTCAACCAATTAATTTTACGAGTAAATTAACCATACATCTCTAAATTATGACTATCATTTTAATTTGATTATCAAGTTTTTTAACGTTCCAATTTCATCTTAAAATTATGACTTTTATTCTAAATTGATCCACTAAACTTTTAAATATTCCAATTCCATCCTCAAACTATAACCTTCATTCTAAATTAGTCCCCAAACTTTTATACATTCTAATTTCATCTCTAAACTATCGATATGCTAGTCAAGTCCTCTATTAATAAAATTGTTAAAAAATGTTAATTGCCATATAAACACTAATGTGTATTTTGTAATAATATGATATGTCATTAAACGATGATTAATGTTGTGTCACGTCCTCCAAAATCATATTTAGAATGAAATTGAAAGGTTCTTTTAAAAAAATTTAATTTTATTTTCTTTATAACTCTTTCTACATTTAAAATTAAGTTATTATTATTTTTAAATCCGAAATTAATTTTTGTTTATGACATATCATATTATTATATTATACACATTAGTGTTTACATGCCATTTATAACAATTTTATAACGATTTTATTAACATGAAACATAATTAGCATATATTGATAGTTCGAGATGAAACTGGAGTGTTCAAAAGTTTAAAGATCAATTTAGAATGTGAGTCATCATTTAGGGATGAAACTGAAACTTTCCGTTCCCCTTTAGAATTGCTCTTCCTATGTTTAAAAGTTTATAGACTATTTTAGAATGAAAGTCATACTTTAGGGATGAAATTAAAACATTTAAAAGTTTATAAACTATTTTAGAATGAATGTGATCGTTTAAGGATATCGGATGCAATTATCTCTAATTTTAATCACCCTAAAGAAGAAAGGAAAAAGGGGATAAAAGGGTTTTAGATATTTTTAACAAGGGAGACAACTGTCAATGGAGAATTCATTATTCATGGAATTAAGAGAAAAATAATATGGATGAATAGTCACGTGATTTATGCTACAGTTCATCTGTATCCAGCAATAGCATTGTGTCAAACCATCGTCACTTTTTTCTTTTTGCGTGTAAAATCATGAAGATCAAATTATATATATATATATATATAATAGTTTATAAATTTTGAGGATCATAGTTCAATGAAAAACCTTACGCACCTTGTTTTTGGTCTTCTTTCTCTCTCTTTATCATCACTTTGAAAGGAAGACCTAGTTGAAGCTTCTATCTCTCCCCATCTATACATATATCTTTATATCGTCCTCAGAAATTCTGAAGTTGAAGAGTTTTCTGATGATCAACATCATGGAAGGAACATAGGCTTCAGGAATCTCCAGCATCAATGGTTTGTATCTTTTACACCAAAGAAAAGGAAAAAAAGAAAAAACATAACACTGATTTCTTAATTTTCTTTTAGCTAGTTAAATTTGTTCTTCTTTCCTATGCCTACTGATTGATTTATTTTCTTTTTCCTTGAAACTGGTATATATGTTAGTGATTTATTTATAAGTATTCTGAGAAAGAACTGAAAGGGTTTTCTTGAATGAATCATTTCCGAAACAAAACTTTTATTTTATCATAACATCGATTATCCCACTGTCTTTCCCATATATTGTTCATGTTTATACACAACTGAAAAACAGTTTCTACATGCTACCTGAAGTCTTGATTTGATTGTATTCTAACATAATAACTATTAGATCAGATCCAAACTCCATTCATGTTTTGTTTTTTTCCCTTACCTACACAACATATAATTAATGTCACTGTAACCAAAATATCATCCTCTTAAAAATGGCGATGATGAGATTCACTGTCAGATCAAGATTTGATGTCGGTTTCACTGACTCACTAGACCCAGATTTAGATCGATATGTAAATATGCGACATGTCTCCCGGTCCACCATTTTTCTTCTTCTTCTGTAATGCATTCAATGTTTTTACATATGTATTTTATAAAAGAGAGAACTTGTGGAATGTTCTGATTTGCAAAGTTTTGAAGAGAAGAAAAAAAAGTCATTAGATTTGAAACTACTTCCATGTACAAAGGTGGATGATGATGTTTAAGCTAATGATTAATGTTTCCCTGACCAGTAAAATACTTGCAGTTAAACCTATTACCTAAATCACGTCCTTCCCATTCATGGTAAAACTTTTACATTAATGTTGGAATAGGTAGGTTAATATAGTAGATATACGACATTTATAGATATATGATTCATTCTCTCAGAATGAAGCAAATGATAGAGATGGAAGATGAAGAAAAGAGGGGTGGAAGTGATCAACAAGCTGAGAACTCATCTGCTGCAATGTCCATCTCTTCCCAGAAATGTTCATCCTTTGACTTGAATGAAGAAGCTAGCAGCGAAGAGGATTATCATTATTATAAGATTAATGGCAAAGGAGAAGATGATGAGATCGAGAAGAGGAACGAAGGGAGTTCCGGCGACATGGGAGAGAAAGATAATGATAAAAGAACAGTAAGGCAATATGTTAGGTCGAAATTGCCTCGGCTTCAATGGACTCCTGATCTTCATCTCTCCTTCTTACACGCTGTCGAAAGGCTCGGTGGCCAAGAGAGTAAGTTCAAATATTAGTATCATTACATACATAGATGGATCGATGGGCCTGACAAGAGCAGTCGCCTCCCTAAGTTCATTTTTATCATAAAATCCTACGTCTCACCCTGATTACGTATACATATGTGTGTCCTTTTCTTAATTTTTTTATGATTTTGAGGGTTTTAGAGTTTATTTACTGTAATTCTTTTGTTGTTGTTGTTGCAGGAGCAACTCCAAAGTTAGTTCTTCGATTGATGAATGTGAAGGGACTTAGCATTGCCAATGTAAAAAGTCATTTGCAGGTAAAAGAATACAACATTTTTATTTGATATTTCAATGGTTAGTTTTAACCTTTATGAATCAATTATTTCATAAAATATTGAATTATTGATTCAGATGTATCGAAGTAAGAAACTTGGTGAAGTTGGACAAGGTGAAGTTCTTTTCCCTTTTGTGGTATATCTTATAAAATTAATTAAGAGGGAAATAGATATTCAGGGATTGATTTTCTGTTTCATGCAGTAAATTTGATTTTTTGGGTCAGAACTTGGTCACCGAGTTCCTTTAGGATATGCAAATCCATGAAAATTTCACTCTTTGATGAAATGAGCTGAGGTCAGAATATTTGTGAAACTCGTGCAACATCTTAATAATTGGCTTAATATTTCCCTTCGAGAATATCAATAAATCATCCGCGAAACTGAAATAAGTTTAGTACTGAAGAATTTCACTAGTAGTTACAACATAAGCTTTCAAAATAACACGTTTATGGGAAAATCAAAGGGGTAAGGAGATAATGGATCCCCTTATCCCACCCTTTGAAATGATCCACCAATCACTCGTTAATAGAAATAAAAACTCGAGTGGAGAAATTATTAGATGGATTCGATTAATCGCGTCATTTGTGGTCCTAGTTGATAAAATCTATCCATTTCAAATGAACTTTTAAATAACTACTCACTCTTTATTTACATGTAGGAAAGAGGTAAAGGTTTACCTTGAAAAAAATGAGATGGATGGATTTTATTGTTTGAGACCACGAATGACATAATGAGTCGAATCCATCTAATAATTTTTCCCTTGAGTGAGTTATACACCCCTTAATCCATTTCACAAACACAACTGGAAAATCATAAGCTTCTAACACTTTGTTTTGAATAGTCTGACGTGATAATAAGATAGTATCTTTTTAGAATCTTTCTTAACCATTGACAACGCACATATCCTGCAAACACAATTACTCAAAGATCCATAACCTCTAAGAAAAATAACACTTCATTTAATTATCGTGACCACTTAATTTACATTGATTGCAAAAAGACTTTATTTGATAGCCTTTAAATAATTCTTGAGCAAGGAGGATATTGTTTGTTATATTTCTTCCTTCAACAAAAGCGTATTGGTTCTTCACAATAATGTTTGGCACACAGTTATTTACTCCTTTAAAACCCTAAGGGGGTGTTTGGTTCAAGGATTGTGGATGAGAATCCCACATTCTCATGTTTGGTTGGCCGGGAATCTCATTCCCTGTAACACCCCAACCCGTACCCGACTCGAATACAAGTCCGAGGTGTCACATTGACTTTTCAAACTTTGACTCTTTTGAAAAAGAGAGAAATTTAAAACTTTGTTTAAAGAAAAATACGTTAATTTACATAAAATTGACCACAAAATACAAACTCCATCAGAGTACTCGTAATTAACGACTTATTACATGCCAACACTCTATACACACCAAAATACATACTTTGTCGATTACTTCTGATCTGATCTTCTAGTAATAATATTGTCATTGCCACTTCTATTCTTGCTCTTCTCGTTTCTTGGTACCTACGTGTAAATCACTTACATGCTAAGTCATAGACTTAGTGAGGAAATAATTAAACATTTAACAACAAATTCATGAATATACATTATTATCATTTGATCATGACATTTCAATATGCATGGATATATTTCCTATGACATATATAATCAAGTCATGCACACATGAAACTTACCTTTTTGTATCACTTTCACTTTAATTTATATTTCAATTGCTGTTGTTGTTGCCCATGTATATTATTGAGAATAGAGGTATGTGAGTACATTGAGGTTGTGCACCAATGCTGTCACCACAACTCGTATAAATTCCCTCATGGGGTACCGAACATTTGTTCAGTATTCGTCCCGAAGGACTGCTATATATGTCCCGTAGGACCACTACGTCCCGAAGGACTACAATACCCTCGACTCTTGGCATGCCAACTATACCTATAGCTCTCGTATCATATACTATGGGCATTTATTATGAATATATTTCTCATCACTTGTTCTTTCTCTTCTGTCACATACCACATGTATGTGTAACCATATATTTCATATCATATCACATATTGCATATTCATATGTCATTTCATATATTCATATAGCTTATTTCATTTCACATTGGTCATATCTCATAGCATATATATCACATATGCATATAATCATGTATATCATATCATATATCTTATGTTTCATGCTCTTATGTTTATGCATATCATGTATTCATGTACATATAAGAATCACATATCAAATAACATTTTAGGAGTCACTTCTTACCATAGTAACTCCATCATTGGCTCATCGCAAGCCAATGTTCGTTCAATAATAAAAGTACAATTAAAATTGCACTCACCTTAGCCTTGCTTTGATTCGATTATAATCTTTTGATTATTCCGGAACTTGTTTAGGCTCAATATCTACATAAATATATATCATTTCAAAACAACTATCAGAAGCCTAAATTTTAAACTTGATGTTAATAACTTAAATCGGTTTAATGAATCAAATTCCATTTTTTCATTTAGGGGGAATCTGTTCCCGAGGAATCGATACCCCCCAGGAGGGAATCTGTTCCCCCTGCACATACTGGAATTTTCGTCCAAGAGGGGGAATCGATTCCCTTCATAGGGTATCAGTTCCCTCTACCCAGAAATTGTATTTTAACCCCGAAAATCATCAATTCTTCACTTAATTCTTCTATTTTAAACCCCTATCATGTCATTAAACTCAACTACAATTATTTAAACCAACATTACTTAAACCAACTTATATCCATGAAAATCATCTATAACTTCAAAATCCTATCCTTCATATGTAATTCAAGAATCATAATCAAATTTCAATATGTTCTAAATACAATTCTAACACTTCATATTCCTTAATTAACATGATGACAAGTCAAATTTAACTTCAAATTCAACTTATCAACTCTTTTCCATGATTTCATATAAAAACTCGTTTTCTTAAATCTCTTATAACTTCTTCATCTTTTGATTATAAGACAACTTAAGCTTTCCTTAAGCTTATTTATCATCTAATGATCCAAACCTAACCTTTAATTTAACAAATAATCAAGAAATTAGAAAACCTTTACCTTATGCTCTGCACGTTGGAGAAGAAGAAGGTAAGAAGAAGAAGAGTTTTCTAAATACTCTCCCCCAACGTTTATCTCTTCATAAAGAGATAAAAAAAATATCTTTCATGATAAATGACCATTTTTCCCCTTAATTCCTTTGATAATTACTAATAACTTTCAGGAAATATTTATGAACAAATCATTGAACTATTCAATCATCTTACTTTAATCACCAAATTTTGAAACTTTACAATTTAATCACTAACCCGTATTTTGGGATGTTACATTCCCGGTAATGTTTTATTACTAATAGTAGATTTTTTTTGGGTATATTACCGGGAATGTCATTACCTCCCTTCCCTTAGGTATTGTAACATTACCGGCGTTTTGGACTAAAATGCCCTTAATTTTTTTTTCTTTCAAAAATATCATTTTTCTGTCATTGAATAATAAAAATTCTACGAAGGTTAAATTACAAATTTATCTTTAAATTATTTTAGATTTACAAAAAAAAATCTATAATTAAAATTTTATATGAAGTTCAGGGGTTAATTTTTTTTTACCCTTTCATTAAACATTTTTATATTTTTAATTTTGTAAAAAAAAATTATATAAATATTATGAATTTAATTTTTTAAATAAAATATATAAATATTTTACAATTTGTAATATTATACAAATATATAATGACAATTTTGTCAAATATACATTCCAATAATCTTTTATTCCTTTAACCAAACACGGTAATCTTACATTCCTGCTAAACCAACCAAACACAAAATACAACATTCCCAGTAATCCTATTCCCTGATAATCTTTTATTCTCACTGGTAATCTTACATTCCGTGAACCAAACGCACCCTAAATCCTTAACATAATTATGATTTTACTTCTTTGGCACAGTAATGATAGAAATGGAGTAAAAGCCTTTCAAAGGACCTATGATCGAAAGAAATATATAAGACATAAATTGAACTATCAAAACCATAGAAAAGTTTATTGTAATATAAATTTAATAATAAAAACATGAATTAAATATACATTTGAATTATGAACTAGGAACCTTCTTCTAAGGGGATAATTAAAGAACTTTTACTCCTAAGTTGGTATTTAAATTTAAATTTTATTCATTGTTTTTGTATTTTTATTAATTGTGTTAGCTTTTGATAACGTCAATGATAATGTCATCATGCATGTTTTAAAAAAAATGTACAAAATTTATAAAATTAGAATTAAAAAAAACAAGTTAAAAATTTCAAATCACATAAATTTAATGAGTAAAACACTTAAAAAATATATTCTTTATATAAATCTTAAAAATTGTAAAAATGAGTCTGGTTGAAGTTTTATAATAGAAGATTGTTATAATAAAACCAAATCATCACGGATGTTGTATCGATTGTAAACCTCATTTCAATGACAAATATATACATTTATTTGAATAGTTTTAAGAAAATTTTCACTCAAATTGAAAACAAAATATGAGTAAACAAATGAAAAACGTTTAAAGTGGGAGTGAAATACCATGATTTTATACTAAAAAAACAAATAAAATAATCTCATGATAAAATGAAGAAGTTATCCAAGGTTCAATGAAAATAAACCAATGGGTAAAGCTAGATTAGTTAATCAAAGAGACATAAATAAGATCACATCTTACGTTGATTCGTCATTATAATTAAAATTTAACATCGTTAATAAAAGTATGAAAAGTAGGATGAAATTAAAGTTACCTTGAGAGTAAAAATTCTTCCGATATATAACCAGAAAGAATGTATCTAATCCATGTACCAAATATATATTTAAATATAAAAATATTAAATTTAATACACAAATATTTTAATATTTTGAAAAATGATTTACATTTAGGCTTCCCCAGAAATTGAGTCAAACCCTAACTTGGGCATTAAAACTTGAATAATTACCGAATCATGGCCTAATTCATGAACGATGATAAACGATAAAAAATAAAATTTAATTAAATAATTGAAATATTACGATATAGAGATAAATACTTAATTATAGAAAAAATAAACTACTGGAAATGAGTTACAAAGAGAAAAATAAAAAGAGAAAACAGCAAATGTAATCTGCACTTCAATAGTCACAAAGAATTTAGGGTAAATAGTTGTATTACATATTCAAATAACAAAGCTTTGCATTTGTTATGTAGTTTTGAGCCAAAGAAATAGAGGAAATCAAGGAAGGGATGAAAAATTGTTGCAGCATTTCAGAATGGAAAATGGTGGATTTGTTTTAGCCAGAGACTCTCCTTGCTACCAACCGCCATTAGATCTCAAAGCTACTTTTCCAAGGTTATCCATTCTACAAAGTTTCTCGGGTTTTTTTATTCAAAATATTTTTAGTTAATTGACAATTCATGCACACTCTATAGACGCAAGTGTTTGAACCCGAGTATTCTAGGAGATCACAACATTGAGTTCTTAATTCTTTTTATATAGGCACAAGACAAACCGAATTCATGGAATGGATACGAGCATGCGAATTGGAGCGATGAAAACTTGGCGATCACTTGATGGGAAGAGGTGGCATCCTTTTGAAACCACAGGTGATAGATGGAGGTTTAATGGCAGCTTTGCTGACATGTTCTCGCAATCTCCATCACAATATTTTTGCAGAAGACCAGTCTCAGATGGAAGAGGCTACTTCATATGGCCAACTGAAGGACACAAGAAAGTTGGGGCGCCTGAAAATCACGATACCTTGAGCAACTTCGATAGATGTCGCACGGAGCTCGAGACCCCGTTTTTGCTTGAGGTAATAACTCTTGCTGGACCTTGACCTACAGGATGTTTAATTGGTTATTCATGATCATGAAAGCTAAAAATGCTATTTTAGGATATATTTTTAGGGTTTATATTTTGACACTATGTTCATGCATGCCTATTGCACAACTTTCATGTATTTTCATTAACAAAAACTACTTTTTAAAATAAATCATTGGTTCGTTATTGGAACTGCAGTTGAAGCAGGATAAAAAGCTGAAAGACAGGGACTGGTTGCCGGATCTGCAGTTAAGGCTAAGCCAAATAACTGGAATTGAAGGTGAGACGAAGACCCATTGCAAAGACCCCCAGGAAATCAGCACCCACCTCTCACTTTCATAACATCAAAATTTACCCAGGCTATAATCAAGTAAAAAAGAAATGGTTCAAAAGAATTGCCCTAAACGAATATATATGTTGGAGTACACGCATACACAGATTAATAAAAAAGTTGTAGACCAGGCAGAAAGAGGGTGAGTACTTGGGGAAGGATCTGGCCATGTAAAATATAAACCCACAGCAAGTGAGATCTTTATAAGTACTTGCCCTAGAGCCAATTTATAAACCATAGTGTTTGTTTTTCCTTTTGAATCCTTTTGTGTTAAACATAGACTAGGTGTCGAAATCGTTTTTTAGGTTTTGAAAAATAAAATTTTTGAAAATCGAGTATGTTTTTTGAATATCTAATCATCATCATAGTTGTTTTGTATTAGGTATGCACTCAACACCCATAAAATTATTATTTTTTAATATAATTTTCATGGTTCACATTTAAAACCGAATGAAATAATTAAATTTGAGAGTCTATTACGTAAGAAAAAGTTTAAAATATCATTGTGACTCTTAAGATTGATATCTTTTTAACGAATGAAAACTTATTTGAGGGTTACAAAATATACTTATCATTTAAACAAAAATTATAGTAAAATTTTGGTTAATTTATCTTTTATCCCTAAAATTTTAAACTTTAAATTCTAGTGATTAGTAAAAGAGAATACTTCCTAAACATGTTTGAATTTAAAAAATGCATATTGTTTTGAAAATAAAATCATAAATATAAATATAATAAATGTATAACACATATTTATTTATTTTTTATATTTATTAAATACATATAACATCAAAATATGGGGATTAAATTGCTTTGCTAATTAACTAGTACTTTGGATAAAGTTGAGCTACAAAATATGGCAGACCACGAAAATACATAAAAAAAAAAGCCTGTAACGTGTTGCTTCCTGTGTAAGATAAAACACCATAGGAACTACAAGATTTCAAGTTCAAAATATGTTTCTGGTCATTATTAGATCTGAATCTTACTTTGGTGTTAACAATTACCTCAACGTGCAGTGACGGTGGATGTAGGAAATGAAGAAATAAATATTCCACAAAGCTCTTACAACAACAGGAGCAAACAAAAATACACTTGGCGAGCGTAATAATTTCAGTGCAAAATCATGGAAGAAAGAAGAAAATATAAATGGTAGGCTGCTGCAAAATCTCTTAACCAGCTCTCACCATGTTGAATCCAAACTGCTGGAACCAAGGCAATGAGTGCAAGAATTTCAGTGCTGGGAAAAGTGAGTTACTAGTTCCTGTTAAGGAAGTAAGTGTTAGTATTTTCAAATTGAAACTGTGATTAAAATCGACAATATCATCCTTACTGAATGATAAGATACCTCAGAATAGCGGGCGTGATCGTGATGCAACTGAGAAGTTTTGACAGTTGTTTCCCACTTGGCATCAGTAGCAGGTATCTTAGGTTCATGTTTTTCATGATTATAGTGAGTACTGTAAGACTGCAAAAATGAATTTCTTGGTATCACTGAAGGCAGTGCACACTTAAGCCAAGACTGGGATGGTGTTTTTGGTAATGGAGGAAGAGGAGAACAGCCAGAACCAGCCTTAGCTTCTCCTTGATCAACTACTCTTGAATCATAGTCATCACTAAGCGTTGCACTTCCTAAAGCTCTAACTTTAATAGGCTCAAAGGATTCATATAACGTATCCAACCCTCCATACTCTGGTTTGCTGGAGAAAGAACAGCAACTGGAATTCATTGAGCCTGTGATTTCATACTCTGGTACTCCCTTTTCATCCGAAAGACAGAGACCTTTTATATATTGAAGAGAACACTCCGCAATAGCAGTTTCTTCTAGCATTTTACTCATAACTGAGGTATCAGAATGCTTTCCGATGGAGTCCATTTGGGCGTTGGTATCTGAGGAATTGGAATTTGAACATGCATTTTCAAAAAAAAAAATTACAACATCTACATACAGTGTTTTCTCAACTGCAGGGCTCATAGATCCTTGCCTGGTTCTCGGATAGGTTATTAATTCTTGCGAGTTATCATTGCTTTTGCCATAAAACACATTGGCTTTAAATCTATCAGCTTTTTTAGGCATGCCAAGAAACCCTTCTCTGCCGAAGGGAGATCGAGGTCTCTCTCTACGATAGGGAGAAATGCGAGCACCACCTGCAAGCCTTTCGGGAGGAGACCTATTAATTATCTGCTGGTCATTTGAGCTAGCAAAGTGATTTGATCCACATGCCATGTTTTTCCTAATCTCTGATAGCCTAGGTGATTGAACTCCATTATCCGATTTGTCCTCTAGGAGTCTGAGTGATTGTGCTGCACTATCTGATTTGTTCTCTGAAAACCCAGGGGATTGAACTCCACAACATGATTTGTTCTTATAAACAAAATCACAGATATTCTGCAAAGATATGAAATAATAAAATACATGAACAATGCATTCGAATATCTAACACTTACAGAAAGAACATAGAATAGTTATTTGAAGGAATAAAGAAGAAAGATCCATACTGACCTGCTCAACAATTTGACCGTTGGACTTCATGTAGGCTTTGCTTGGCTTTGCAACCTAATGAGTAGAAGACATTGAAGATTGGGTCCTAACTTTTAATCCTGGCACAGGATTTAAGAGGCACATAGAGTTCTTAATGCATAATCGAGGCAATAAGCCACAAGCATTTCTTGATATATTGCCGAAATCCTTAAAATCATCGCATTCATCTTCGGTCTCTTCATCATCATCATCTTTGTTGTAACACGGAATGACAATTGACCCATATTGGTTTTCTAAAGGTTTCCTGTCCTGAACAACCTCTTTCTTAACCTCTTTAGAACATTCGGGTGCCATAGATTGCTTCCTTGAAGCATACTGAGGTGTCACCAGAGTCATTGCCTTGGCAGCAGGTAAAAAGCGAGTCATCATAAAATCCAAAGTTTGTGGATCAGTTGAGAATGTTCCTGACGGTTTTGAAACTGGAAAATCTGGTCCACTTAGACTGCTTACACTTCAATTCATGGAGAATGAATATGTTGGGGACAAGGTCTCAAGTGCATCAGAATAAGCACCATCATCATTCTCGGAGTCTGTTTCGGTTTGGAGCCTAACAAGATTCTGATTTTTCAAAGTCTTTCTCCACAGGATACTTGCACAAAACCCTACCAAAAGCTTCCTTATTTGGCTGAAGGTCACCGTCAATGCCACTTTTTGCTTTCCCTGGGATCTGCTCCCATATAAAAGGTACTGCAACAGGTCTGGTTTCCAGATCCAAACTCACATCCGAGCTATTGGAAGGAGCAGTGTATCGTTCTATGTGGGGATAATTCTCCATTATCTTCTGCTTATCTCTACATGAAAAGGCAGATGCTGCAGAAATCCGCCTCACAGATAAAAGTGGTGCATTGAAATTTAATTTTTTTTCATCCATCACACTTTCCTTCTAAATACGATTCACCGTTACAAAACATGACACGCCTGATGAAAAAATGTTGGATGATAAAACCATGGTAAATACCTCCATGTCACAATTTTGCCAGAATCCTGAAAATATGCCAAGACTAATTACTTGAAGAACCTAACTCACAGCAATGAGCACTCAATATTCTTTACACCTCCCTAATCTCTGCTAAAGATATATAAGCAAGACAATGAGACATGTGAATTTCAAAACATTCATGCTAAGTAAAGGGTGATAATTTGTAAGGCTGGTGAACTCGGACATTAAATTAAGGTTATGAGAAATCAAATGAGAATTTATCTACTCTGCCATATTGATTATTGGCAGCATCACCAAGAAAAGTAGGTGCATTTCAAAAAAAGAAAAAAAAATTTAAACAAACCTGATCAAGAACTTGGTAAAACCTTGAAGATAGTTATACGTTATAAATAGCTTGATCTTACTAACTTGAAAAACTTCATGTACAATAACAATCTACAAAACTAAAACCATGACCCATAATTCATCTCATTTTCAAGATTATCAAACCAAGAAAGAAAACAAGAATCTTTAGCTTTAACATAAGCCCAATATTCCTTTCAACCTTTAAACAAAATAAACATTTCTTGAAGCAAGTGGTATTTACATAAACAAGAGACAGGGAGGCATACCTGTGACTGAAGGAGAGAGGGATGGGTTCTTTCGTTTCTTGAGCTTTGATTTCTATGTATTATTTTGCATTTTAGTTGACAGACGCGGTAAAATTGTACAACGTATATGGGTTTTTTATTTAGTTTAATAGGGTAAGTACAAATTTATTTTGGGAATATAGTATTTTTTACAGTAACATGAAATTCGTTATGTCGAGGGGAGGACTTTCAATAAAAAATATTTTTTTTATTTTAATTTTTTGCTTCGATATAATAGATTTTAATAAAAAATTATATTTTCAAGAATACTATAAAAATATCGTAAATCTTAAAATATAGACCGAGATACACCTAACAGGCTAAATAAAAAACATGTTATCCTTATTGGGTAAAAAAAAAAAGCCAACAGACGCTTGAGTCATAAAGGGAAATCAGTTTTTATATAAAATAAATAGTGGGTTAATTATTGTATTTAAATGTTATGTAAGGAATAAAAAGGCAAAACAGTACACATATTTTGATATAACATGAAATATGTGAAGTCGTGTATATTATAATATCAATGTCATTAAAAATTAGTATTTTAATTGATATTTTCATTAAAAAAATCGATAGAAAATTACACATGTTTTTAAAATAATAAATATATTAAAATAATAAAAAATGTAAAAATTGAATTTATCATCATGTATTATATATTTTTAAAATTACACATATTTTGATATAATATTAAATAAGAAGATTTTAATTTGGCAAATATGTAGGTGTCTGAACGTTTATTATTAAATAGTTAAGAATATTTAAATAGATGATATTTTATATTTATCTTAAATTATAAAAAGAAAATTATGTCTACTTGGTGATTATATCTCTTCTATAAAAGTATAATCGTGAGATTTTTTTTCTTCTTCTATTGCTTACAATATTTAAACTACCTACAATCTCATGCCCCTTGATCAAAAGTTAATACACATTTACTTACATTAGAATCCAAGACTTTAACCTAATGCTATCTTTTGTTTTTAATGAGAAAATCCCTTCGAATAAAAATTAGGACATAATCGATCTGTTTCAAAACTGTTCATTGAAC